ACTTAATACAGACTTCCTGCTGGGATCCGATGAAGTGATATCAGCTCTACCTAAGAGTCCCTCCCCAGAAACTAGCAGATCAGTGGGCATTCTCCGACCTGCCTTCCTCATGTGACTTGACAAAACCAGTCTTAAACCCTGACTGCTGAGTGCAATAGGGGTGATGGTGGTAGGTGGATGCGGTTAAGAAATAGGGATGTGGAGGTTGTACCACACCATTGCTTAACTAGGACCCAGATGACAAGGCTAGGGTTCAGGACTCTGCATGGGGCTAGCTAGCCCATGACTGCTGCAGTAACTCATTGGCCCCAGAATCTTCAAAGACTGCCTAACGCTGTCTCCAGTTGTCAATGGCCTCTCTTTATTATACCCCTGAATGACTTAAGCAATATGAATAACAGTCTAATATCAAGAACCTTGCATGCTATAGTCTTTACCAGCTCTGATCTGAAAATATGTACACTGTATACAAAGGTTTTCATGAATTTTTAAATACAATATGGCCCATAGTCATCGAGAGAGAGAGAGAGAAACACTACTCATGAGAATGCAACGAATCAACTGTGAAGAGTTCCCAAGGAGAGCCTGTGTTCTCAACTATGATAAAATACAGGTAACGGTTACCACGGTGAAAAATTTTGTTTCATAGTGAGAAACACTAAAAATGTGTTTTTCATCAAAACCGGTTATCCATCATTGAGAAAGTGCTCTGAACATAGAGAATAGTAGTTGCATTCGTTCTCCAAATTATTAATAATTCTTTAATTTACTTTTGGTACATATTGTTAAACAATAAAGTAGTAAAACTTTCTTGCCTGCTATTAATGTACCACAAAGGTAATCATTTGTGTGTGTAAATATATAATATACATGAAATCATCACATTGTATACCTTAAATATACACAATTTTACTTGTCAATTATATCTCAATAGGAAATTTAATTTTGAAAAAATGTACCACAAAGGAGGGAGCCCTCTGTGCTAAGAGTATGCTGGCTAATCAGGAAGCACAACCAGGGTGCATCATAAATCTAAGGAAAGTACTGACAGAGTATTCTTTAAAGATTCTCACTGTTGGAATTTTAATGCCATTTAAAGAAATAGTTGAGTAGGCATAGAAACCAATTGTTGTATTTACTTACTAATAGCACTAAAAGTTGATAGACTCTCAGAGGCTTTAATTCCTCTGTAGCCACCAAGTGCCAGGAAATATCCCTTCCCATCAGCCATTATCTCAAATAATCTGTGCACTCTTGAACCTCAACTCAGATGAAAAAAGGAAATAAAGAAGTTGAGAAAAATTTACATACTATGCCACGTATCCAAATCAGGCATTTTTTAAAAGTCAATGTATAACTTGAGTGCCTCTGAGACACTTCAACCTACATTTTACATTTTCACATTTTACATGTCCTTTAACATATATTCAGATTGAATTTTTAAAGTTAAATTGTAAACTTGACTAGATCTTTCAATATATCGAAAGTGTATCAAAAATCACTTAAGGCAGGGTTTCCCAACCTCCGGGCCACGGACAGATACTAGTCCATGACCTGTTAGGAATAGGGCCACACAGCAGGAGGAGGTGAGTGGCCTGTAACTCCAAGAAACTTCATCTGTATTCGCAGCCGCTCCCCGGTGCTAGAATCACCGCCTCAGCTCCACCTCAGATCATCAGGCATTGCATTCTCATAGGAGCACTGGTCCCTGGTGCCAAAAGGGTTAGGGACCCCTGATTTAAGGTTACAAATGTAAATTTTACTGCAGGTTTTACCATACAAATGGTAATCATTTCTTAAAAATGATATCCAAAATAATTCCCAGGTTTTTTGTTCCTTTGCTTTATTTTAAACCACGTAATTATACCTCAAATGTAACACGATGGTTCCAGCTATTATACTTATTTTTAAATGTATTAACTTCACTATATTTTTATATTAAACTTCTATTTTTCCTAAAACATAGGGATTAAAATCTCTTCAGGCATTTTTGTACTAATAACCAAACGTATTAATGGTTTTCAAAAGGATAAAAGTTTTCTATGTCTATATAATGACATTTCATAGACTTTAAAGGGCAAAAAACTTAATTCAAAGAGCATTACTAGTATAAAGCGGTCAGAATTATTTGGAAGGTTCTTCTATTTTAATACATACTTGCTGTAGCTGGCTTTCAAGTTTATTATTGCTCTGTTTTTTATATTCAGGAAATTGAGAAAATGAGTCATCAATGACAGTGCTTCTTGCGTTCATATACTCTCAGCTGACACTTCTTATCCATGCTCCTTATTTCTAAAGTTTTATCATTTGTAAGATATATTTATATGCTTATATTGCATATAATATGTATAGAGTTCATATTTTAAAAAATCATTCAATTAAATACGATGATGAATTATATTATCAGGCATTATTCACAATAGTTTTCAAATATAATTCAAAAGAAGATATAGTTCACACTCTCATCAAGGGGCTACTTGTAAAATAATATCAACTGTAAAACAGTCACATGAAGAAAGGTAAAAATTAATTCTAGTATCAATTATGCTAAATCATCCAAAGTTTTTTCTAAATGAAATTAATTACATTTTTATGGGACAAAAGCACTAAATCTAAATATGTCAGTTAAAGTGTTTCTAAAAGAAAAGGTTCACGGTTCCTTTTTTCTTTGCCTTTAATAAACTGAGTATGCAAATCCATTACTTAAGATATCAACGCTGATGCAGAAGATTTAAAGGTAGATTTATGCAGTACAGATTTATTTCCGGAAATGCCTCATAACTGTAGGCTTCCAACTGAAAATGAACTAAAAAATAAACAACATCCTGGAAGATACATAAAAATATTAAGTTAATGATTCCCAAAAAGGGGAATGAAAACATATAAATTAGCAGTGGAGTGGAAGGTCTAAATAAGTATTGAATATTTTGCATTCTGAGTTGAGAAGTCACACTTTCAGCATACATTATATCATGTTAATAACAAGCAACAGGTAGTTAAAGGGAGGGAAAGATAGCATTTATCTTCTCCACACCGTCCCGAAGTCATCCTTACAAAAATGTAATTGTCTTACTAAATGGTTATGTAAAACCTCAGATAAGGTTTTCAACTAAATCATTATTATATTTTCACGTATTGCATGTATATCAAAACAGGTATTTGCTAAAAATATTTCGGTAAATCCTTTACTTAAATTTAACATATAATTCTGATGGATTTTCCCCCAGAGATCACATAAGAATAACTGAAAATATTATAGCAATAAATACTCTAGAAGCTGGCTGAATAAATTCTACAATATTTCTTTTAGGCAAGTAAGCTTGCCTAAGTAGTGTAAATCAAACACATTTACAAACTTCCCAAGCTCTTAATAATTCCATAAAGTAATATGAATAAAGTCAGAAAGTACTAAGATATTTAAAATTTAAAATAAAATTTGGAGGCTAAAATTCACTTTTAAAATGTCTTAAAGCAGCCATTAAGAAATGAAATGTCGTCATGTGATGCAGTTTAAATACTGTCAAAATGTTCAATTTTTTTTTTAAATGAGGGCATGATAAACAAATTCTTCCCCAGGTTGGCAAATGTCTCATTCGCTTGCTTGCTTTTTTGATTGCATTCAATGCCTAAAACTAATATAAAACAAATGTATACGGGGTTTGCTTTTATAAAAGCATTCATTTAGCAATAAAATGTTTAAGCCTTGTTCATAAAGCATGTAAGCAAAGCCCTCCATTAAGTATTATCATTATCATTTTAAAGTAAAAATTAGCACTTGTTCAGGAGTCCCTGTGCCAGAATCAGCTACGTGTTAGATTTGGCTTGTAAGTTATTTCAATAGAGGGGTGCTGGGAAATGGGGTAGAGAAGCTAGGATGAAGACGAGTCTAAGCTTCTATTTATTTCCTAAAATCGTGATAGAGTGTGAACTGATGAAAAGTTAACTCATAGGCACGTAGTGTACTGCAGATAGACTCCACGAGAAATTCTCTCAAATGTCACAATAAGGGTTGCCAATATGCGTGTGAATCACTTCGGATTCCTTTCAGGCCTTCTGGGTCTCAGGGGTCAGCTGGGGGCGGTAATCAACCTCCTGTCCGGAACAACTAAGTTACACTCGCGGAGGTGTACTGCTCTCTTGACGCTGGGACAGCTCTTTACGCAGCTTCATTCAGATCAGGGTGGGGGAAAAAATTACTTGCAAATCACAGCCCCTGGCTCCAAACTAGCTTCCACTCTTAAACCCTGGCTCCACCTTAATAGCCCTTTAGGGGATTCCCCCAGGGGAGCCTACAGTTTAACCGTTTCATTGCTACCACCTGCGGACTTTCCTTCAACCCGATCCCCTCGCCCCGCATATTTTACGCCAGAGATTCATTTTGGAATAAAACTCAATCGAATGCACTGTAAAATTGTTCTGTATTAAAGTTAATGCCGAAGCACAAATCTGATTAGCAATCTTATGTAATCGAGGAGCAGTTCAACTTCTACCCACTGGTGCCGCCAAACAACCTCCCACCCTTGGAGAGCGGGCATTTATAAATCTTACATCTTCCTACCTCCTCCCTCCAATTCCTTAATGGACCATTAGTAACAGGATCGATCCTAGTTACTTTAGTAGCATTACATCGCAAAAGCACATCTGTGTGTTTACTAGAGCCAGAAATACCATTCAAAAGTTGAGAAGAGAAAAGACAGCACTTTGCAAACCTTTGGGAGCCGGGAGGGGAGGTCAACAGTGGGAGAGTGGGGTGGTGGGAGGAAGATTGGGAACCTGGGGAGACCTGAACTCTTGTGCTGCCGGCCAGGAAACCCTTCCCCTTGCACCAGCCAGGAGGGGGCACCGGAACCGCCAACTTCTCCAGCCGCCGCTCGCAGCCACGTCTCCTTAAACCCGGCTGCTCGGAAAACCGAGACCACTGCCCACCCAGCCCCGGCCATCGTAGCCCCAGCCTCAGCAGCGCGCTCATGGGTCCAGGGATGCGGGTGCGCGGCACTTACGTCTCGGAATTTGTTCCACTGTCCGACTTCCTTGTCATACTGAGAGATTGTGGTGAGCCATTGTTTATCATCCAGAAAATTACCGCCGTCCGACCGCCCCCCGGCCGCAGCCACCGCCGCGGCAGCTGCGAGAGCCTGACTGCACCAAGCGGCTGCACACACACACAATACGGCTGGCACCTTGAGCATCTGGGAAAGGAAATACAACCAAGGGGCGGGGTGGGGGGGGACCGTGTCAAACAAGGGGTACGAAGACCGAGGAGACCCTGGAAAACATGCATGAGCAACGACGGAGGCAGATAGAGGAGGAGACAAGCAGAGACAGGGTGCCCCCTCCCTTAGGCTTTACCCCCAAACCTGGGCGCTCGCACACACACATGCAGACCCGCAGACCCGGGGAGGAGAAGTGGGGATATAAGGAAAGAAGCCCTAGCGGCTGCAGCCCGAGTGGGAAAAAGAATGCTTCCTGGCACATCACCTTGTTGTGAGCCCGCACAGTGCTCGCAGCTCCTGCTGGAAATGCAGCCGGGCTCGGCCAACTCGCTGCTTTCAGGAGCCGCCGCACGCGCCGCCGTCTGGAGCGGTCCAGTCAGCTCCCAGCGCCGGGCGCGCTCCCCGCATCCCCGCCTCCCCCCGCGCGCTGCTCTCCTGCTTACTCGGGTTGGTTCACCCCCTCCCTTTCCCAGCTCTTTTTTCTCCCCCTCTTCCACCTCCTCCTGTCCCACCTTTCTCTCTCTGGATGCGAGCTGCAGTTGACTCCGAATGCGCTACTGGCTTGAGGCAGAGGATGCTGTTGCTCCTCACCTAGGAATCCCTATCATCTTTCTAACCTCTCCCCTCCAGAAGAGATTCTCATGTTCGCGAGGCAGCCTGATCATCCTCTCTGCTCCCGGATTTATTTAACACAAAGTGTGCTGTACCTCTCTGTGGCCTCGGCTCTGCACTTTAGAAGCTGCTCAGTTAGGCCTAGGAAATGGGATCTAAGAAAAACTTTATGGATCACCAGGAATCCCCTGGACTTTCTTTTCTGTCTGCAAACCCCTTGGACTGAGCTCCGCCCTAAGGCAAAGCCATCTGTAGCGTCTTGGGAGATGTGTTAATTTCAGGATTTTAGAGTATGTTTGCGTGAACTTCTGGATTATTACAGTGTATATTGCAAACTTTTATATGAAAAGGTAGAATTTTTTTTTCAAGAAAGAATCATTACCAGGTAGGGCATTTGAGTACGCCTAAATCTCCCATCGTACTGTATTTTCCTTTAATAAAAACTTGGTAACTGTATTTTACATCCTAGGACCCGAATCAAAAACTTTAAAAGCCCAATCTGTGTCTCTCTACTGCAAAATGGATGTAAGTTTTGAGGACCTAACACAAATTTTGCCCTCCAGACCTCCATTTATGAAAAAATATTCCGCTCTCTATGACTTCTCGGCATAATATTTTAAATAAACTGGAAGGAAATCAGTAACTGGCCCCTTATAAAGAAAATATAATGAAGAGTCTCTCCCACAGATTTAGAAATTTTATGTGAAGTGATTAATATATGTAAATCAAAATACATGTGGAGGCTAGAAGACTGGAATAAAGTTATGTATCTTTATTTGAATTATTCAAGATTATTTCAGCCCAAACTACATCCCCCAAATCTACGACCTTTGCACATTTCATGTAGCTTCCAAACTTCAAGAGCTATTTGAATAGCAGCAGTATTTTCTCATATTTCCTATTTCAATCTCATGTAACACTTGTGTAATGTTTTCAAACAATATTAAAGTAGAAATCAAACACGATGATTAATATTGGTTTCTTAATTTTTAAATGTAGGATTTTAAAATGAATGTATAATATGTAGAATAAATGAAAGAAAAAAACTTCATTTTTTTAACTCAGAAAAAGATATTTTTCTTAATTTCCCTCATTTCCACTCTGGTGAATGGTCAAGGGGAAAAAATAGAATCTACACTTGCAGTTCATAGAAGCCCTGATTGATGTAAACAAGTGTCAGATAATTTTAATGCTGATGTGTACCGATTCTGCAAAGATAGTTATTTTAGCCTATTAGCAGCTGGACATGCTACGTATTTTTAAATATTCTAATTCTTGTTTAGGATATCACAGATAATCATTCATTGGTCCACCCTCCACTATCATCTCTTCTAGCTCTCAGGTCCTTCATCTCCCCCATGCCCGTCCTCAACTCTCTACAACTCTCTACCTCAAAATTTAAAGTACTTTCCTCTCAATTCAATGAGAATATTTTGACATGTTTAAAAAACTCTTTTTTATTTTTACAATCTAAATCTCATGGGTAAAACTCGGATATTGTGCCTTAGATGAATCTCTGATATGTAGCAGAAGTCAGTAATTGTTAAATTAAAATCACCTTTTAACCTTTGTAAGCTACCTTTTAAAAAAGCTGTATGTTGTTTGCCACAAAGTATCTGCTCCCATCTCCCCGCCCCAACTTCAGCGTCTATTGTATATTTTAGCATAGTAACTGACATCTAAGGCTAACATAACCCCCTTTAGATTTTTGGAAGCATATACATTTATCTTTATACCTCCATTTACTTCAAAATGCATGTATCTCACTGATGACCCTGACACATTCATAGAAGCTCTTCGCATCTCACTTTCACCGGCAAGGTCCCAAAATGCGGCTTTACATGGACTAATGTAAGTGTTAAGGGTGGAAAATTTTCAAGTGAGCCAACTAGCTAAGTCAGCTACAGGGAAGAAATATCTTTAGATACCAGAAGTTGTCCTACTTGCTTGTGTGTGGTTTAGGAAGTGTAGTGTATCCTATAAGATATGTAGATGGCCAATGTCTGCTTCTGTAGAAGTTGTCCGCTTGTGTGTGGTTTAGGAAGTGTATTGTATAAGATACGTAGATGGCCAATGTCTGCTTCTGTAATCCATTTACTTGTTAATTAAGGGTAGGGTATTGTGCAAAGATATGCTAAAAGCCAACTTCCACTTCTGTAATCTGCTGGCTTGTTCAGGAGACCTCCAGGATATGGTCTTGAGCTTTATCAGCTGCCTCCTCTGAAAGCTCGGGGCTGATCTCCTCTAGCCCTGCGTGGTAGAGTCAGTCTCCGCTGGCTAATAAAGGCTCATAATTAATCTCAATTGGCTCCGTGGGTCTCAGAATCGTTCGCACCATAACATTTGGAGGCCCCAGCGAGATTTTCCCCAGAGAGAGAAGGGGAGTTTTCTCTGAGACCCACAACCTGGTCGCTCCGGGCGGGGCACGACCGCGTCCCGGGGGCGGCCGCTGAGACGTTCCTCAGCCCCGGACGTCGGGCAGCCCTAGATCAGAGAGACCGGTGGACAAACATTTCTGAAAATTGGACTTGAGCCTGCTGTTCCTGTCTCACCGGTGAGTTAGTCTAAGAGTCTTCTTAGACCTGTTTCTGTCTGTGGGCCCT